CTGGACCTTGGTAAAAACGCCAATATTTTTTATCGAATGTGGTAGAATTACCGAGATAAAATGGCAAGGTTACCGGGAATTGATTACCAATAAAAGTGGTATTCTTACCTGAAAAAAACAGTAAAAATACCGGTTTTTCGGTAAGCTTACCAGTCTGTCTTGGTAAAATTACCAATAATTGGTAAAAAAGGGAGATGGTAAAGGTACCAGCGGACCGTGGTAAAAACGCAGAACTTTTTTTTTCAGTGCGCTAGTCAAAATTTGGAAGGAAAAAAATGAGCTCGAAGTAGTAATGAAATTACTACGTAAATTTTCTCCCTTTGAAAATTCTAATTTGAGAACAAATATCGTCACCACCCGGCCAAAGTATCACAATTCACAATACGACGATTAGGAATTTCCGCGGCCATTTTATTTTGTTACAGAGAAATTGTGAAACGAAGCCGTCCGAAAATTTTACCGAATTTTCTATATGCTGCCAATAAAATTCAGTGAAATTTTCAAACGGATACAACCAACAATTTCTCAGTGAAAAAATAAAATGGTGAAATTTTCAAAAGTCGTGGTGAAATTGTTAAATTCTAATCTTCTATTACCTATTTTTCTTCCTCTTCGTCACCATCTATTTTTTCCATTTTTGGCGCGTATACGTAGTATACCGCCTTTGCGATCGTTTCGAACCCTGCTCGATACAATAACCGAGTCCCTTAGTTCCTTACCGAAAAGTGATTACCGCGAACTTCTGAGATTTTCCAAAGCGTGTAAAAAGTTTATTTATCCGTCAATAATTATGATTTAAAGTTGTTTCTCATTCTGGGGCTCTCTAGTTTATGTGCAGTGAATACCAAGAGTCTACGTTACTTGTTTTTTTTTAAAAAAAGCCTAAGAGTACGACGCGCTGATTTAAAATATGCATATATAAGCAGAAGCAAGCGAACTGATTCGAGGATGACTGACCAGTTCGGCACTTTAAGAATGAGAATTTCACTCACTCCGTTTTGTTCAAAACGTTGCTTTGACAGAACAGATCTCCACAACTCTGTTATTTTTTTCAAAATTTGGTACCCTTGCTCTGATAACCAGACAAAAGTAACTATCATGTAAGTGCAATCTGTGATGAGCCTCGAGACTCATTAGACCATTTGCTAAACGTGGCTCATACAGGAATCCACTTAGCCCTCTCTTCCCCACGCTCCTGATCACTGCGTCGGCGTCTCGACGAACAATAGCTAATGACGGTCGCCAAGCGAAGCCGGGATCCTCAGCCCCTCGCCCAATTACTTATGCTTCATTAACCATTTCGCCGTCACGCTAGGATTTGTCCAATTTTAAAAAAAATTGTTTCGCGTGTACTTAGCAATTTTTTGCTTACTCTCCGTTAAAACACGAATTAAAAGAGATCTCATTCATAAAAATCGGCCGAATAGACGGGAAGTTACAGTATTCGAAATCTGAAGAAATCAATAAAACCTCGAATTCTCCAAACAAAAAATAAAATGAAGGGGGAAAAAAGAAATTTATTAATTACAATTAGATAAAATTGACCTCAGAATTTGACAAGCAATTCCATTATATAACGGAAAAAAAATTGGGAGTAATTACAAAAAATTCGCCTCTTGCAAGGGGCTTCCTTGTAAGAATTTTGACCTGAAGACAAAGGTCGAATAGCAACAGTACTCCACACAATACACAGTGTGCCTCAACGAGTTAAACATGTTTTATGTATCCAAATCGAATTTTTTTTATTTTAACTACAGTGTCTCTTGAGTCGTTTAAGCCAATAAAAAAAAATCCGTCGAGATTCGGGAACGTGAAAGCGCTTTAAAAGTATTCTGGGGCTATAATAGCTAAATCACCGGTAGTAAATCCCGTTATATTATTAAAAAGAAATTGACTCCATAGTTTAATGCCTTAGTTTCTTAAATACGATTATTTTAAGCACTCAAACATTTATACCACCAGTTTTAGCCATAAGGTGATTTCCTGAGAGCCGATAATATCACGAATTTCTCATAGAACCCTTCAAAAATGGCTTGCTTTTTGGGCAGCCGATTCGGCCATCGAACCGGGGTTTAAAGGGAAGCTGATAATAACACAAACCTCTGAGAAAAATTTTGAGATAGACATGGATTCTGTTCAGCATATCGATGCATAAGCATTTTCACACGTAGAATCTAATTCTCACGTCAGGGAGTGGACATATTTTGATTTTTTCGATTTTGTACGGAAAATTAATGGTTCTTCGGGATTGAAATTACTTGTAATGGTTTCTTGAAAAATAAAGGCACCCAAAATGACTATAGCATATTGACTTTTATAAATGTGAGCTCACGAAATTGATTCGTAAATTCAACGAGTGGGTACATCGACCTGGTATATCAAGTTTCTGCGATATTTTACGGCAAATCGGTAGATTTTCGGGATGTAGATTTCTTACTTTCAATTCATGAATGAATAAAGCATAGACATGGTTGAACTTCTTTCCATGGAAAGACGTTTAAAGTAACAAAATCAAGACATATTTAAAGCAATTGCATTTATATCGAGTCAATTTCTTTTCAATAATCTAACGGGATTTATACTACCGGTGATTTTGGTATTTTAGCCCCGAAATACCTTTAAATCGACTTTTTCTTCTAGGAGTTCGACAGAATTTGTCCTTTCTTCGCTTAAATTATTCCGTAGCACTTTTCTTCAAGAATCTGATAAGATTTTGTTGGGGGCAGATCAAAAAACTTAAATTCGTTCGAATAGCTTTCTACATTCACAATACACGGTTTCGTCAAAGTGCGTCGTTGAAGTGTTGGATCGTATGAATTCTCTTGTTGTGCTACTTGCCTATTTTGAAATCTCTGTAAATGAAAACTAAAGGGGTTGATATGAGTGCGAGTTAATGACGCGCCTTATCAACACATTGTGTTGGAGTTCACTGCTTGTTTTCTCTTCCTCCACCTTTCTCACTTTGATGCTCCCAATGCAGAAGCTGCTTTTTCAAATGCACGAAAAAGTAGCTGATAATTGCAAAAATCCATCTTACATTGCAACGAGACTCAAGGTAACCACGTGTTACCGACCTAGCGGAGAGAAAGGTCAGATTTTTTTTCGAAGCAACACTCATTCAACACGTTGACAACAACGTGAGAGAGGGCGTGGCGACAAAGACGGAGGGGTGGGGGGCAAAGCCTACCCGGAAAACGATTGCGTTGGCTTGATTCATTAGGGTCGAACTGCAACAATGCTGGTAATGTCAAAATTTCGTGGCACCGAAGCCGGAGAGCTTAATGCTCGAAAAAAGGAGGCGTGGCAGGGGGAGACAGGAGGGGGGCGAGGGGGCGGGGAACTAATTGCAAAGATGGCAGGGCACGGTTCCATTTCATGCAGGCTGCACTTGAGTTATGAGTGCCGCGGTTGCTCGGGACATTACTTTATTAGCGCTAATATCCCTGGAAATTGACACTCTCGCTGCCAGGAAGTGGCGGGAAGAGCCCGGAGCCCCGGCGACGCGACGGTGAGAGCACCACAAATCTTCGCCGCGAACGCCGAGAATCAGCCTTGATTGCGATTTATCGGGAGGAGTGAACCAGAAAAGAACGGGGTGCAGCCACCAAAGTGGTTTCGGGGGAGCGTGCCCGAAGCCAGAGTCATGAACCGCCACCACGCATGGAGGAAAGTACATGGAAGGTACAGTCGATCCGTTTAAGGTGAAATTGAATCAGTGAGAACGGAAACGCACCAACTCGAAAAAATGAAGATAATCAAGATACACACAAAACAGACTGCTCGGAAGGTGAAGAGGTTAGTCTGAAAAAAAGATTTTTGGTGCCTAAAGACAAGTACTTGGGGACATTTTAAATGTCCAATTTGGAACGGATGCGATGACTTCAATGCCCTTTATGAAAATTCACTGCCTTTAGTGAAAAGTGAGCATTTCCGAGTAACCGAGTTGGTGCATATGTTTTCGTTCTCTATAATTGGTTCAATTATAGCAGGAGTAAGGAAACATCCAGGTACGAAATATTTCTTTCTAGAATACAGCGGGCGTATTATTGAAATGTATAGGGAAAACGATAGAGAAAATGGTAGACGACACAGAAAAAGTGTTGGGGGTTATTCCCAAAAGTTGTGGCACTACCTCAATTTTTTGATGATGTGCACATTTCCAATTAGTTTTGGTTGTGCCGTAACTCAAGCTGGGCTGGTACCGAAAAATTTGGATCAGTAATCCAAGTTATCGGGGTTTTACTACAGTCAATTGGAAACGTCCAAGTTGGGACTTAACCCCTACCTCTTTTTTGTCCGTGTAAGATGATTGAGAAACCTATAGCAATTCTGGTAGTTGAAGCAGGTGGATACAATAGACTAAAGGGTCTTTCGTAGTTCGGCGGAATTAACTCTGTTTGCGACATATTTTCTCCTCAAAAATTTCCCGACGTAGATACCACTTTTCGTGTTCGTTGGTTGTCCGTGTTGCATAACCAATAATTAAAGGCTGTCCGGTTTTCCTTCAGCCGATAGTGACGCGCATCGGGACCTATCGGGCTGTCGGCTAAATGCGACCCTTCGTGTTCAACGGTTGTCCGTGTTGCATTTGAAAAAATTGAAGGCTGTTCAACATTTTTCTCAGTCCATACAGAGACAAAGTACGTTGGAGCCTCCGCACTAACAATCTACGCAATTTAGAAGGTTAGCATTTGAATTCGGAAGTTAATGCTATTTGTAAAATCAGGCCATTTTTGACGATACTTATCATTATATGTACTGACATCTCATTTCTATAATCAAAAACTTGATACAGCCAATTGGTAAAGCGCAAATTGAGAGTTTCAAACTTTAAAAATCAACAAATACAGCAAACGAGCCTGACTATTGTATGCATCTCTCTTGTTTGTTCATTGCAAATGGCTCTTAGATGTGCATTCAGGTGTCATTCAGACACACAAACTATTATGTAAGCTGAATAACGTTTGGTTGAAGTTGTGACGAAACACCAATTCTTGCATCGAAATATAACTTTTATCGCCCGTTTTCGGATCACCAGGCTACATTTGGCCAACAATTTGGAAGGACTTCGGTGAAATAAAATTTATCTTTCGGTTCTTTTCTTTTTACTGGAAGAAATGCCTTTTACGTGCATTTTTTTTCAAATTTAAACGTGTGCAGGGTGCCTGGTCTCGTAGGATCCGACCGCAGGCTTAGTATCTTAAAAAAATTACTTAAAAGTTCAAAATTCGTTGAAAATCATATCGAAATAAACCCGAAGCTCTCTAGGGACCCTTATGACTAATATTATGTGAATTAAATCTGTGTTCTATGTATAAAGCCTGACTTATTTGAATCTGAGATGAGTAAGTAATTTCAACATTAAATCCATTGCCTGAGCTATATTGAAATCTTTCTTATCGTATGCATTCTATATGTGTATGTATGAAATATCTCTTTAAATCTGCAATATTTGGAAAGCCTAGAGCTTAGACGTGCTGCACGAAAGCTACTCACTCAGAGCTTATCAAGGTTGTGGAATCCTCAAAGGTTTGATAACTTCTAATAACTTAAAGAAAAAGAAAAAAAATTATGTTTTTGCACACTCGCTGTTTCCACATATTACTCTTCTTTTCCTACAAATAGTGAGTTTATTGCTATTTTAGGTGCATCATTAATTTTAATTAGACTAGTCGATATTTAAAGGAAAACATTTTCTGATATAAAATGTGAAACCACAAGTTACTATAACTATGTCATGTCGGTAGAGTATATAGTCTCCAAAAATTGAGAGTTAAAGAAACGTTGCGTCGAAAACGTGAATACATTACTTTAGAACACTTTAATCCTAAGATGTCTTGAAGTAACCAACGGCTTAGTTGATTTCACTAAAACTTTGGTTGATCAACCAAACCATTATTGATAAAATGACAGAGAAAAAGTAGGTGACCTAAAGGAACCAGAATTACCAACATTTTTGGTACAGCCCAAGATCGAAAACAAACGAACAAAGTGATCCCTTGCGTAGGAATATAAATATCTGAATCATTTCTGTTGCAGGATTAACATCATCAATACTATAAGCTTTTTAACCACTTGCATTTTCATTTTGTGTGAAAGTTCGTTCTGTCACTCTACGAGGCCGATTACCATTATATTTGCGGCTGTCATCACATGATGTTCCCAATGTGAATTCGCTCTGTCCAGATTTGGAAACTTAACTTAGGGGCAGGGTGGCATGAAACGCAAGAAAGAAATGAAAGATTGGACATTTCAGTAAAATGTTTCATGAAATGTAACGCGGCTGTGAAATATTTCATATTTTTCAAGAGCTAGAGTATACAACCCGCACAAAAACACACACAGAAATAGAAGAAAGTCACAATTTTTATATTTTGAAAAACATGAAAAGGAACCGGTATTTTTCAATATTATCTTTTATTCATCTTCATAAATTTCCGAAATTTCATTAAATATTTCACTTGAAATTTCAAGATTTTATATTTCATGAAACTTTGCCACCCCGCTCAGGGTACCCGAATTGCAAACCTAAAGGGTTCAAAGTACCTCTGGGAGTTGGGATGCGTAGCAACCAGGGAGCGTACCCTCTACTTTTCCATAGTAAACCTCGATAGAAATAAGTCTCGATGCATGATTCCATGCAACCATGAAACCGCATCACTAATGCCAACGTTCTTTTTGCAGCCGGCAAATTCCGTTTCATTTTACGAGAAAAAGAATTTCGGCGGGAAGAGATGCAACATACAGGTGAAGGGCTGCCAACCTATGTGTCAGGAATTGGACAACATGGCTTCGTTCACAGAAGGGAACGCGGTCTTTCTAAAAAAATTGTAGGATGAGTTCAGCTGCAGTGGCGTTTGTTCGGCGATTTAGGCGATTTGGGTGATTTGAAACTGGGCGGTGTCAGAAACTTTAAAGACCTTGCCAAGTCCCATTATCATTTCCTCCGTAAAGGACTGCTCAAATAATACCGTTACGTTCTGCAAGCTAAGCCGTAGGCAGAAGAAGAGTTGCAGTGTGCAGTTGCACGGCTGCCAATCTTTGTGTCCTGAATTGCATGATCTAGCTAGATTCATGATGGGACAAATTACTTGCGATAAGCTGTGGTCAGGGCCCAAGTGCACAGGAGCCTCAAGGACCTATGATGCAGCATTCAACCCCTTCGTTAAGACAACTGACCCAATATTATCCATCGAAGACTGTACAAACACAGACGGTGATACATTTTTAACCAGATCCCTGAATCTTAAGCGACCTTAATCCTAAGAATCTTGAAGGTCAAAAATTGTTGATTTATCAAAATCCCTTGCTATGCGTTGCATCATGTGTGATTACTGAGACTTTCGTGTTCAAAATAAGTCTTCTTAAGGTCCGCGATCAGATCACCCATAAGTTTCGTCTAATAGCTGAATGAAGGAAACCGTAAGAACTTTTGAGACATCCTGTATTAAAGTTCCGATCATGATCACTCAAGGGTCAAAGTCATAAAGCCAAAAATAGATTCTGATAGCTCGAATGATACTTGAATCGATCATTTCAGACATAGCCATTTGTGTGCGTTTCCCTTGTTTACTATAATTTGAGGAAGTCCCCTAGATGTTCGTCCAGGTGTTACACATGTGATATATGGCTATATTTATGCTAAAAGGAACTATATGCATAGGGTTTGTGTGTAACATAGTTCCCATTAGCATAAATACGTCCATCTCCTGAACGGAATGACTTTTTTCCGGAGTTATAACGCAGCGCCAATTCACGCATTAAATGACAATATCAAACACCTAGGTAGACATCTGGGCAAGCAATTGATGCCCTACTAATGTTCCTCTTAAAAGCTAAGTGCTGCTTCAAATGAGTTTCGATCGGACCGATTTAGCTGAGAATTGTCTCTCTTTTCGATCGGTAGACTTCAATTCCGCGAAAAATTTGCCTATATATTATGTTTTATAATTTTGACCAATGTTTGACTAAATGTAAATTTTGACTAACCACCCTCCCACTTTTATTGCATTTTCTGGAAAGGGATGTTACGAATAATTGCCGCTTAATTTTTATCAACGATAAAACCGCACAGCGTATATGGTCCCACAGGATTCACACGTGGATGAAACTGAGAATTGCCGGTCAAGCCTTCCTTTTTCTCTGGAGACAAACAACCAATCCAAGTAAGTACTGTCGATCATTTGCCTCAGATGCTTGGTTTGGATGGATATTTTGTTTCATATGTGTTTCCGAATCAAAGAATTGGTGGTTTAAATATGAAGAAGACTTTTTTTAATTGCTCTGAAGTAAAGTGCAAAAGTTTTTTTCTGAAATTGCTAACAGTGTATATTTTCTCGGAGTGACCATATAACCACGATGCCTATAAATATCGATTGAGAAGTTAATATTATGTACTAATTAAGATAGTTTAAATAGCAATTTTCTCTATCACCGTTAAAATTCAATGAAAAAGTAGCATGGGTGTTTATTTACGTATTTATTTTTTTTATCATTAAATTTCACTACATTGCGTTTCTCAATGTTTTTAAAAGTTGAATGAAAAGAGTTTGTTGATCTCAGCGAAAACCATAGAACTGTCCATGATGTGTGATTTAGAAATTTCACAAATTCAAACTGAAATAATAATATGGACAGGAAATGAGAAAAACTTACAAATTCATTGAAATGTCAAATTTAGCCGGCTATGCTATCAAATCAGGATAAAAATGGCGATACATAGAGCTAAAAGCCAAAATTCGCTTGTAGCCTCGGCTTATTTTTGGCTTGCACTCGATGTACTATCGGTTCTTTTCCTTGTTCAAAAATTATAAATATGTGTAATCAGGTGGGACCATGGTACGCTTAATAATACGTAAACAGAGGAGCGAGCAATGAAAGCCGTAACTAAGTACAAATTTGCATATTATTATGTTGCCATTCAAGTCTCCATGCAGCCATCCAGCTGAGCAAAAATTTCACCTCCCTATCATGTTTTCCGCGTATTCAGTTTTATTCTCAAAATTCAAAAGCGTTTCGATTATTAAATTTGACTATAAATATCTCATATTTTGAAAAATGGCTATCGTTTTTAAAAGAATTTCAACGACCTTAATGAATCAGTTTTTTTCAAAAGGGAACAAGTCCATTTTTGAATGAGCCTTGACTTACATAAAAGAACATACCAACTAAGACTCATCGAAGGATGGACCTATTCCCTTTTGAAAATAATTGATGCAAATATAAAGTCGCTCTCGTTTTGTAATACATTTGAACTACACTTCAACCTCATTTTGCAATTCAGAGCTTTTTTTTAGTGTCTCTTCCTTCACATCGCCCATTTGCATTAAGAAACTAATGACTCAAATTTTCTCTCTAAAATCAGCTAGAAATTTTAGTCCCTTATTGCAAACTATGGTCCATTATAATAAGAGGGGCGATCTCACGGGGCACTATTTGAGCAAACTGAAATAAAACGTAACTGAAGAAATGAAGGAACTACCATTGAATTAGAAAAAATGGCGACATTTTTTTAATCTATAGATGTCTATATTATTTTCGAAGGTGAAACTACCAGACCACGTACATGTAAGCTGATTTTTTAAAATAATCAAAAATCGATAAACAAAAGTAAGATGGAGGGATTATGTTGCTTGAAATTGGTGGTTCCTATTGACTAAAGGAGGAAATTATGTACTGGCTGTGGGGTCTCTCGTGGGTTGCTATTAGTCATAGTCTATTATTTACCTCACTTGTCCAATGCAACCGCCCGTTTTTGCCATCGATCTATTTTTCACATATTTTCCTTATCTATAGCTTTATCTCTAAATTTTAGGGATCAGCCGGCTGTTAAATCACACGTGTTACAATGGAAATTGCCACAGGATGAAGTCACATAAAAGTACATTTTCTTACTTCTCAATCTATTCCCTTTAATTTCCTACATCAGAGAATAATTCAAAAAATACTATGAGCTAAACAGATAAGCCACTTAAAGTAGGCTGCGGAATACATGCAACGTCGCAATTTAAGGTATGATGTTTTTTACCTCACGGTCGGTGTGAAAAAAAAACAAGCAGTTCCAACGCCAAAGCGTTGGAGGGCGCTTCCTTAACACTGCGCATGCGAGGAACGTTTTCATACGGCCAAGCGAGAGTATTGCGGACGGACGATGTATAACAAATTGCCTACGTGAAGGTGGTCCGGCAGCAACATACCCGCCGCTAGTCTCTGGAAAACAATAGAAAATAGTAGTTGCGTACGTTGCCAGCGAGCGCGCTGCGAGCGCATCTGTTTCAAGTACCTAGCATCGAGTCGGGCCTCTAACTTTCTATTCTCTCTGACATAACCTTAAACCTTCTTCAAGCCAGAGCCAACGAACGAGCCGCAAACAGCTGACGCTTGACGATGCTGCGCCGAGAAAATGAACCAATCACAAAATAGCACAGTAATACGTCACTAAAATGAAGAGATCACGTGACTGTTCGTGATTTTTTCGAATCAATCTGAAACTACAACCTCGAATATGAGGCATTTAAGCATAACGAAGCCCCAAAATAGTTTAACCAGGTAATCCGTCCGTGCGAGATTGTTATGCTTAAAAGCAAAACATTTCACGAAAACTTTTACGAATACCAGATGCAGAAAAAAATCAAATTTTCCCGGGTGTACCAGAATGGCGTCATTACCCATAAGGCAAAACGGTATGTAGTATAGTACATGTTACATCGGGGGAGTCGAACGGCTGGAAAGGGCGCATCTGGTACCCAGAAGCGCCCAAAAACATATCACCGGACGGGCGGTAGCGCATGAATTTCAGCGGTAATCTGATCCAAGCGATACTCTTTAAGGCGCTCTGAGCAACTATACCACCACGGAAGTATTGCACAGTATCAGACGCATTTGAAGGCGCACTAACGTACGCAAATTGGCTGATATCGTTTACCACCCACAACTGCGTCGACGGAAAACTTTAAGGGGCCTGTTGCACGCGAGAGATACAGCCAGATAAATCGTCGCTCAGCTGACATGAGGGCGTAACAACACATTGAGATGAGCCCGGAAAAGCATTGAAACGTATGAAGGACAGGGTTCATTGCATCGTGCAGTTACGCCTCTATGTCTGGTAGGCGACAAAATATCCTCTGCACGGGTAAAATCGCGCGAAAATCACATTGCGCGTATCATAAAATCTGAAATTCACTCGTTAGAGCGCAATCTGTGTAATGTTTAACAGGCAAATAGTCAAATATTCTAACTTACATTGAAATTCTGATTATTTTCCTAATTTCAGACAAAATAATTCATTGCTCCTGCAAGAAAAAATTCTCAGTAAAATTTGCACATACAATAGTATTTTAAACAATTTCTAGCTCCTGAAGAGACACCTATCTTGAAATTTTTAGCATGTCGTAAAATACAGAATTTTTTTGGAATTTCAACTTTTAAAAATATGAGAGGCAATTGAAGAAGAAAAGACAAAAAGAGTTCGTAGGTTTGATGAGTTATTTTCCAAAAATAGAGAAAAATCGTGAGCTCTTAGCCATAAATTCACAAAATTGTGTAGACCGTCATTTGACTATCTGCCTGGGCATTTGACAAAACGTCTGAATTCACTATTTGCCTGCGACATTGATACTGCTTGTTTATTTTTTAATTCATTTTTTTCATTTTCTCATTTTCTCAATCAGAATGATATAACCATTGTTCATAATCTCAACATCATAGCTTCAAAAGCCAGCTGATGATAATATTGATTCCTAGTCAGAATGTTTGGGCACAATTTCAACTCTCCGGGCACATTTTCTCCATGGATTCTTTTCAGATCATCTTCTGTTCGTTTGAAGATTCCTATGCTCATTCCTCCTTTCCATTTTATAAAGAAACCGTGCAAATAGACTTTAATGAGCATTAAAATAATATTCCTCATAATATCTTGGGTAAATATCGGGAGATTTTAGAGTTGTCATATTTGTTTAAAAATCCTCACATATGAAGCAATACAAATCTCTCATGCCTATTCTGTGTTAAAACTTCGACGAATCTGTTCAGCAGGATATTCAAGGCCTGAAATGTCTCTCCTGCGCGAAAGGTGTACAATAATACCAGCAGTCTTCTTCATTTTTGCCATGGCAATCTCACCCGTCTCCTTACAAACTGTAACGCTCTTCAAAGACAAGAACTTTAAACATCATCACTGTGACGTCCAGGTCCAAGGGTGCAAACCGGTTTGTGATGAATTGAAAAGCCAGGCTTCATCTCTGCGAGGAAATGTCGACTGCGCTCACTTTTACCGACGTGAAGGATGCGCAAACTACATGGGTACTTGGAACTTGAGCATGGGACCACTCAAGAACTTTAAGCATACAGACGCTCAAGACTCAATCGTCTCTGTCGGGGATTGTAAACAACCAATTGGAGTAAGTAATAGCAAAAGCCAGGGTTCTACATCTACAGGCAGCGAAGTCCGCCGCGATTGGTCGCTGATCCCATATGCGGCTTCGATTACGTTTCATTTAGCCACGTGGCAAAATGCAACAAAAAATGTTGCATCTTGCCACAGATTCTAGGTGCTATGTGGCTAAACGAAACAAAAATTAGTGTGGCAAAGTGCAACAAATTATGTTGCAGTTAGCCACATGACCAAAAGACAAAACCACGTATCTGCATTGCAGCGTTACCAAATCTAATCGAAACGAACTTGACCTAACCTTACCTAACTTAACCTAATCTAACCTAACCCAACCTTACCTAACCTAACCTAACCTTACCTAACCTAACCTAACCTTACCTAACCTAACCTTACCTAACCTAACCTTACCTAACCTAACATAACCTAACCTAACCTTACCTAACCTAACATAACCTAACCTAACTTTACCTAACCTAACTTTACCTAACCTAACCTTACCTTTTCGCTGAATTTGGTAGGCCATTCCAAAGACTGTGGCTAACTGCAACAATGTTTGTTGCATTCTGCCACACTAATTTTTCTTGTTTCATTTAGCCTAACAGCACCTAGAGTTTGTGGCAATTTGCAACAATTTTTGTTGCAGTTCGCCACGTGGCTAAATGAGCCGTGGCTAAATGAGCCGTGGCTAAATAAACAGATACCTGCGGCTTCTGCAACCGTTCGATCGAGAGGCGGACCCAGCAATTTGGCAACACCGGATTTCCTCCATTTAAACCTATGCTAAATAATCGATTCCTGTTGGAGCACCTGGCCCCCCAAGAATCGATACATTTTTGTAGGTTTAAATGGGGAAAATACAGTGTTGCCAAATTGCTGGATCCGCCAATGGTTCGATTGGGTGTCATGATATTAATAATGACAGTGGCAAGGCGCGAATGATCGATTATCGATACCTCCCCATTTGATCTGTGGTAAAGAATCGATTGTTATAAGGTGTTCGTACACCCTGTTAATCGAATCTTTTCCATTGATTTAGATGACAGATTAATAGATATATCGCAAAGCATCCCACGCAATTGGTTCACGGTATAAGCAGGTTTGAAATCATTGCACTTCAGTGGCGTGGCGTGAATTGCGATATACCGATTGTTATGCCATTTAAATCTATGGTAAAGGATCGATTATTAAGGTGTTCGCTGCGAACACCCTGTTTATCGATCCTTTTCCATAGCTTTAAATGGCATAACAATCGATACATCGCAATTCACGCCACGCCACTGTTGCACTTGTTGATACCTGAAAGGGTGATGGACTCGTCGGTCAAAAATCGAGAAATCAAAGGCTCCAGCGGACCGATTATTGAAATTGATAGACAAAGCTATAGACAAACAAGACAAAAGAGATATGGAGGGATCCTATAGGTGGAAGCGGGTGGTTGCAATGGACAAAAATGGTAGGTAATAGACTAAGTAACGGCAACCCACGAGGGAACCGATAGATAGTCTATCGTTTTCTGCCTTAGTCTATAGGAACCACCCATTTCAACCAATAGGATAGCTCCATAATCCTTATGTCTTATTTGTCTATAGCTTTGTCTATCAATTTCAATAATCGGCCCGCAGGTGCATCTATCACACTTGAAACAAAATTGGCTGAGCAGTTTCCAAGATCAAGAGCAAACGAACATGATGAACCTTCACTTTTTAGGCACGCAAATGGAATCGCTAATTTCGAAAAGTAACGAATTCTGATAAATAATATTCTATGGGACAAGAAAAAACTGCGTAAAAGATGGGAAAATCTAACTTTTCCGTCGAGAACTTGTTTCCGAAAAACATTTTTACCTGGCACCTTTTTGGAAAAAGCGCTCCAGTAAATTGCTATTGCAGCTATTTTTTGAATAAAATAAGGAAATCAAAATCAAATCAAGTCTTTTTTAAAGCTCTCAATATGGATATGACTCCATCGCTAGTTTTCATGCCACCACTGAATTGCACCGTACCACTGATGTCAGCGTCCCACCTGCAACCTTTTTTTTAAACATAGATTTTATCAGTTCCTTAAAAGATAGAATGATGCCGGACAGCTGTCCCACCTTACGTTGGAAGAAGTATATTGTATCAAGGTAGGTGCAATTAGACAGCTAAAGCTAGTGTATAATGGATCTTACATTTATAATCATGTGACCATTTAATTTCATCGCTAATGTCACCGTCCTTTGTCTAGCCCTTGACGTATGGACGTAAATGAACGTACTTCTGTCAAACGGAACTAAATGCATTAAGACATGAGCCCTGAGACCCATAAGACTATATTTATAACAGCACAGGAAAAAAAAACACATTGGATCTACAGTACAGACTCTTAAAAACATCGACAAGAAAAAGTACTCTTGATTCAATCAGAATCTAGCATAAATAATAAAGAACCAAGCCTCTTAATTTAAGCGGATTTGGGTTTGATTCAAGCAAAATTCCGATTAAATCATAAGTATTTTTTCTTGTCAAAGTTTTCAAGGGTCTGGACTCCAGATTCAATATGTTTTTTTCCAGTGAGAGCTCATGTCATAATGCACATAGTCCCGTTTGGCTGAAATATGTCCGAATAGCATGAGAGAGGGAGGCGCGAAGGCAGGAATTTGGGAATGGGTTGATCAAATATTACTTTATCTTTTATTATACTTATCTTTTTCCCGTTTGTGACATCCATTAGCTGCGTTGTCCCAACTCTCTCTACCAAGGGACTCGACATCAGACTGCAGCACTGATGCCCAAGTTTTTTCAAGCTAAAATTTTTCAAAAATTTCAATTATACGGCACACTGAAAAAAATGAGTTAGCGTCAGATGACTAAAAATGGTTTCTATACACTAACTCAAATTGTGTGATTTGGACACACATAATTTTTGGTTTCTGTACACTAACCACTATTAGTGCTGGAAACTAATTCCGCTACTCTAATTCGCATTCGGTAGGGTTGGGTCAACCTAACCTCAAAACTGAGAGAGGAGAAAACGGCTTAGCGAATGATAACTGGACAATACTTTTAGGAAAAGAAGATTTCTTAAAAGATGAGAGGTAAAAATCAACTGACCGGTTCCAAATGAGCGACAGAGGAAAGGAATATCCCATAGGTATGTGCAAGTAGACAGAATTATCCTTTAGAGAGACACACACTCACACATGAAACGGTAGCGAATGTTCACACTGAATAAACATATCTCGTCCGAACACTTGAGATATTCTTTTGAAATTACAGGAGAACACGAACTATAGAAGTAAGCAGTAAGTTCACAGATTTTCGTAAAATATAAACTGAACGCGGAACGCTTTAATCGCAATTTAATACAGAAGATTGACGACTCCAACGAATATCATGCTTGTTTACGTTTTGAATCGAACAGACGATTTCTAACCTTAACAGGTTTATTTATGTTGCTTTCGAACGTTTTCAAGAAAGAGAGGACACTATAAATCATACCGGGAGTATTTACATTGTCAAACGAGCCCGAAATTTCACATTTTAATTGATTTTCACGAGCTGACGCGATTGAGGCTGTTGTACCGACGCCACTTTTTCGAAACTAAATAAATGTAACGGACAATGTGGCAGTGTTGAGGGCGAATTAGTTTGACCCGAAGGTGAATTTGTCTTACCACAGCGCTAATTTTACAGCTAGTGCTGTTTTCCAATTCTGGTTCGCGCTCTAGTAAAGTCAAGTCAGCGTATGAAGCGAATTGATTGGTGCTTCAGTACAATAAATTAGTTCTGAAGCCTATAATTTTGATTCTACTTGGCGAGAACTTACCAAATTAGTTCTCAACGCTAACTACTTTTTTTTCAGTGCAGTAACAATTTAAACTAGCATGTCTACGAATAAATCACGAAAAAACACATGAAAACAATGTTAAATCGCCTTTCGCCTTTATCACAGGGGGACGTAATATGTGCATAACCTCAATCTTGCTTGCTGATCTTATATGTTTATTTACGGCCGTAAGAACATCGTGTCTGCCTATTTTCACGCGACCAATGAAAAACCGGCACAAAAATGGCCATACTCTGTTTATAAAGGTACTCTACATTAGACTGCACCGCTGATGCCCAAGTTTTGTTTTTTTTTTTTTTTTTTTTTTTTTTTTTTGCAGCAGGAGAATTCCGTCACATTTTACGAGCATAAGGACTATCGCGGGAGGAGTTGCACTATTCAGGTGAAGGGCTGCCAACCTATGTGTCAGGAGCTGGTCAAGCGAGCTTCTTCAGCGGAAGGAAACGCCGCTTGCCTCCGGGCGTACAGGGATACCAACTGTCAGGACTACGCAGGCGATCTACATAATTTGAAGCAGGGCGGCTTCTGGAACTTCAAGGAGACAAGCCTCCAGAATTACCAGGATTCTATTTCCTCCATCAGTGACTGTTCGAACAGCACCATCACATTCTACGAATTATATTATCGACATGGAAAGAATTGCACCATACGTTTAAACGGCTGCCAACCGATGTGCCCTGAACTACATAATACAGTCAAGTCCGTGTCAGGACTAGTCACTTGCGTCCACATGTACAAAGGGCCAAACTGTACGGATTTCATAGGAACCGTGAATTCAGCCTATTTCCGATTTCATAAAACAACTTACACCGTAGCTTCCGTCGAGGACTGTGGAGTCAGAGACTCTGATAAATCATTAACTAGACCCTTGAATCTTCGGCGACCGCTCAACGATCATCCGTAGAAACCATTTCAAAAGATTATTTGTCCTCCGAAATAAGTCCGGTCATAGTTTAAAGCCGTAATGCTCTTGCCCTGAACCGTAACAGTTGGGCTCTTCCAACATTCCTCATAAACTCTTGTTTACGAAAGTGAGTTTTGATAAAAACGACAAATTTGTAAATGCACTGAAAAAAAAATTCTCGGCGTTTTTACCAAGGTCCGTTTGTACCTTTACCATCTCACTTTTTACCAATTATTGGTAATTTTACCAAGACAGACCGGTAAGCTTACCTAAATACCGGTATTTTTACTTTTTTTTCAAATAAGAGTACCACTTTTATTGGTAATCAATTTCCGGTAACTTTGCCATTTTATCTCGGTAATTCTACCACAGTCGATAAAAAATATTGGTGTTTTTACCAAGGTCCAGTAAAATTACCAATTCCATAACTGGTAATTTCACCCAAAAAAAACTGGGATCAAATAGAACCCTGAATTCTTGGTAATTTTACACTTTTCTTAGTAAATACACTGAGATTTTTTTTCAGTGTGGAATCAAGAGTACGGACAAAGAGAAATTCAATATTTCATGAAAACGCGGACGTACTTCTATCAAACAGAAGTATGTGCAGAGGGAAAGATGAGGTGTCCTCATTCTTGCTCGGGCCATAAGAATGAATGGGGAATATAGCGCGCCAGTGACGTCAGCGGCAACGACGAGAGAAACGACGATCGGGAAGGCGACGCGGCCGGCATGCTGCCAGCTGCAGCGCAGAACGCGCAATGGCGCCTACAAACCTAAGGGGATACTTCACGCATTGCGCCATGCGTGATGTATCCCCTTAGGTTTGTAGGCGCGAATGTGGACTTAGCGCTGGCGCGGATCAGTCCTTTCCAGGACTGTGTGAACACAGACGGTGATAAATTAACTACCAAACCTCTGAATATCAGGCGACCGACAGTCAGAAAGGCCTGAATCTGAGACCATCAATGGCCAAAAGCAGATAAAACAATGTCTCGATCAACCTCATTGACTGAAAGATCGGCACGTGGACTCACTGCGGGTGGCTTAAAAGAATTATTTTTTGTCCAAGATAAGTCCTCCTTAAGTCCGCAATGGAATCCCCCCCTCTCCTAACCAAAACCAGATGATTGATTTTATTGAAATTTCTCATAAAATTTGGGAGTAAAATTTAGTACGATATTAGACCGGGGAATTGAGCGGGGTCAGACCGGGCGAGTACAAATAAGGAAAACCTCAAATTGATTCCATTGTCAAACCTTCATACTTTGAAAAATGTGGCAAAACTTCTACTCTGAATGTATTTTTTTGCGTGTTATCAACTGAGACTTAGATATGTAAGAGTTCGTGAAAACTCTCGTTTTAAATATTGTATGGAATATAATAAAATGTTCAATACACACAAAAGCCAGAATTGTTTCCTCTATCGTTTGATTGAATGAGCAGCTGGAAGTTGTACGTCCGGGTAAAATAAATTAGCCGGTAAGAAGCTTTGTTAATAAGCTTGCAGCTTGTTACCTTAAAAGTTCAATCCAATAATGCTGACCACTAGGCAACATCATATCGTCACGTTTCGGCAAGTACCACAAGTACCACGTTCGTCAAAATATCACAAGTGACACGCACGACATTTCAAAATGTCCGCCGCAATTTTTTTTTTTTTTATTATTTACAGAGAAATTGATCCAGGAAGCTGTTCGAAAACTTATCAATTCATTTCAATTTTATGCAATTCAATAAAATTATTTGCAGATCTGTTAAATTTTTTCTAAGCAACTGGAATCCATCCGCAAAAATTATTCGAAAAAATAATCATTTTCATTCAAAGAAGCACTTTCTCTTCATGCTCTCCTCTCCTCTTCCAGTGATGAAATACTTGTGCATGACACACGGATAGGTTAAAATATGGAGCTTTTTCGCTCCATGAGAATGCAAAGGATTAAACATGTTTCTCTCCTTAGACGTAAATATCCGATTAATTGAATGTTCTCCCTTGAAAGAAATTAAAATCGCTCTCATGGAATATGTTACAATTTAGATCAATACTATTGAATTCCTCTATTTGAATTTTTCTTCAATCATATTGAATTATATTAGATTTACCGACTGGATTAGTTGCAAACTGTAGGTAAAGCAAAAACACAAGTTGAAATGACTTCAATTTATGCCTAAAAACTGGGCATTGAGTCGAAAGCGTCTAAATGATTTCGAATTAATTCAAAGAACACTGCTTCTACGCCATATTTTCGTTTACTCTATTTTCTTTAATATTTCAGACAGCAAAAACAATTTAACATCGTCTGAGTTTCTGAAACACTACGATTGACATATTTACCCTTTAATTATGGTAAAAACCGGGCAGAAAGTCGAGAATAATGACGCTTCCAATTAGTCCTAGTTTTCTGCTGATTTTAGCGTGGTATAAGCCAGATCAAGGTTTTGTTTCTCTTGTAACCCGGCATTTAAAAGTTTCCGTAACCACCGGACAGTACTAATGTTATTATCATAGGTAGAAGTTGATTTCAGCAGTTTCCATTGCGCGAATGGTGTTCTACATGAAATTTTTATGTCATTAGAATCATGTATCATCTGAGTGCTTAAATTCGCACCTTGTTTAATGGTCCATTCAATCCAAAAAAGCGAACATAGAGAACATTCCTAACCTTTCTCAGAACGAATGGAGAGACGAGGCAACGTTGGAATGCTCATATGCGTCGAAACACAACGCGAGTTTGAATAATTGCGCCAAACACGGTGCGGTCGTCGTCAAACTCATATCAGCGCCTGCAAGACTGAGTGAATACTTCTCGCATTGCACCAAACGCAATACGAGAGTTATTTGCGATGACTGTTCGACTACGGGCACAGGCACATTGCCGCTAGCTGGATTTAAAGGCGTACCACACCGTGAAGATGACTCGACACTCGACCGCGTTCCCTTCCCTGGCTCACGCGGCGCTGAAGACACCATTAAACTAGGATTACGTGTCAGCATTCATGACACTATGCACTGATTTATACCATTAGTAAAGGGAAAATATATATCCTCATTGTATTAATTCAGACACTCGGATGATATTAACTTTTTTTTTAACATAAAAAGAAAATAGAAAGAACGAAAATATTGCGTTGAAATTTTCTAAGCTTACATTTGAGTGCAAAAATAAGACATAAAAAAGTGGTGCATAACGTTGGGATTCGAGTTTTTTTTTTTTTTTTTTTTTTTTTTTTTTTTTTTTTTTTTTTATTTCTTTATTTTTTGTTTTCGTAGAATTGTTTCTTTGTCTACGGCCTTATCTATAGATTTAAATAATCAGCCCGCAGTGGCTTTTCAGAGTATTCAAAATTACCGCGTCTGTGGGCGAGGATGCGCATAGATGTGCACCAAGTTTATCCGTCAAGGTTACCAAGAAAAATGAACTTCGGCCGGATATGCTTGGAAATGTTTCCTCTGAGATCTTTATACACCTAATCATACTCTTAGTTCTGTATTGTTGCTTGTCTGTCGGTTTTAAGGTTTTTTTCTTCTTTATTACCGTCCGCGCCTCTATCGAGCGCCATAATCTTCGAACCTAAAAGTCTATTTAGTTTCACAATCAGGCACCTCTGTGGTATAAATTCTGGTGCTTTTTTCCGTGTATGTTTTCGCGTTTTATTTGTCGACTCAAAAATGTCAGGTACCTAAAAATAGATTGAGGTACTTCGCGCAATGCCTGAATCGATCATTTTAGACAGGAAAAAAAACAACCAAAAGATAGGTCTCAGTTATTAATGTGCATTTCGCTTGTTTGCTGATTTCAGCAAGGCCCTTAGAGGTACATTTAAGTGTTTACTCACACACGTAATATTTCGCGAATGGAACGACGTTCACTCCAAGTCATAACAGAGCATCAATGTATGCATCAAATGGCATGATAAAACACGGAAGCAGTCTTCGGGGTAGTCAATTGATGCCCTCGTGCGGTTCTTAATAGTCCGGTGCTAGGTCAAGTGCGTTTTGATTGGTTCAATTCGAATTAAAATAGTATCTTTTCTTATGGCTAGACTTACATTGTACGAAAATTTTCAACAAATGTCCCGCGAATCAAATTCGGCTTCTTATTTTTATCCCATTTTCCGGGGAAGTATATGCCAGTGAGGTATGCCACTAATTAAATTTTTCATCAACGTACACCGTCTCGTGATATCCTACGCTGGACGAATTTGAGGAGTACCTCTGTAAATAATCGTTTCCCCTGAGAATCTTGAAGAACTGGTTCAGGTAAGTAATGAAGATAATTTGCCACAAGGGTTCTATTTGGTGGGACTTTCGTTTCCTATCCTGCCAGGCTAGGGAATAACGCCGGATGAGCATTCTAAAGTTGCCAAATTTTCTTCGATAAAATGCTCATTTGTAAGGAAAATAATAAATATTTTCCCTCGAAATTTTCACACCTTTTATATCAAACTACACACAAAATTATCTGAGAAATTGGCAGAGAAACATTCAAAAATGTTCCTGAAAATTAGTGATTCCCCGGGAGAAACTTATCAACGCCAGAAGGCTCATATATCGTTTTTCTTTAGAACGGCAGAATCTGCTTCCGAATCGACGCATTAGTGATTCCTGTTTTTTTGAGGACTTTTTTGCTGCATGAGACTCTGCATTCAAAATGGACTTTGCAGTCAACTGGGTCCCATTGAAAGGAGAAATCCGAACTCACTACCGTAACACTTGGTAATCTACATATCACTGCAACTATTTGATTCGTCAAACCAAACTTTTGGTTCTTGTAACTTAACGTTCGGTCCATATGATCGAACTTCGTTCATCAGTTCACTCAACCGCCGAAGCTCGGTTAAACACGCCCATGTTTGGCCAGACAAACCGAATATTTGGCGTGTCATGGTACACTGAACGTTTGGTGCATGGAGTCGGACTTTTTTTTAGTAATAATAATGCACAAAAAATCATACAATATTCGAAATCTTTGGGCTACAATCTGAATGGCACTCTACCTTAGAGCCTATGAAGTTCCTAAAAATCCCAAAAAGTGCAAATAGAGATTGGAAATGGAGTTGTTGCATGGATGAGGAAATTGCGATTTGACTGTTGTATCTTGTGTAAAAGTTCGCGAAAAACACGATAGTGCTACCGTTTTTCTCTGAAATCAACGCCCAAGCTCAAAAAAAGCTCTCAAGTTGAGCCCAAAATGGAGAAGATATCTCACGCTATCCTGAGAGTCCACCTCCACATCAAGACAAACTCTCCATGCAAAGATAAGGAGCAAATACATTAGCAGGGTTGCGAGTCAGTTTTAGAGTCCGCAAACAAAGTGGCAGCACTGTCAATGTGTTTGCTCCCTTTCTCTGCATGGAGAGTTTGTCTTGATGTAGAGGTGGACTCTCAGGATAGCGTGGGATATCCCCTCCATTTTGGCCTCAACTTGAGAGCTTTTTTTGAGCTTGGGAGTTGATTTTAGAGAAAACCAGTGGCACCATCGTGTTTCTCGCGACTTTTTACTTAAGAATCAACAGTCAAATCGCAAATTCCTCACACACGCAACATCTTCATCGCTCAGGGACAGCACAGTTCATTCAACAAAATGAGTAGATTCCGCCCTTATTCGTACCAATCCGGTAATTTGGAGGAATGCAGACTACGGAGAGGAATATGACCAGATATTTTCATCTGTTATTCTCAAAGTGTAGTGACATTAAAAAAAACTATAAAGGTGCAACAAGCGATCATTATTGCAAGCAGTGGGAAGCTCAGATAATTTACTACCTTAACCGGACGCATGTTCTCACTACTATTACACCCCGAGTAATTTATTTTAAGAAACGAGAAAAGAACGAACAAGAACCAAATAAGGCTGAAAATGCCTATCACAATTTCTGGCACGTTTTGAAACGGTTTCAATCTTTTTGGAACCTTGGAAATCAACTTAACGAACATAACTTTTTGAAAAAAATTCAGGCTGTACTAAATTTCTGTTACGATCAAACGTATTAAAACCATCCAGGCAGTGACTAATGTTTTTTTTTGTGGAGATTTTTTGACTGAAAAGGATTTGATAGTTAAAATATTTATCAGTGTCTTAATGAAAATAAATAAACATTTTACTAACAAACCTCAATACTTAGAAAATAAAATTTATTTTTGTTTTCTACCAATATGTTCTTTTTGTGGTTTTCGTCCTTTGCAATTCTTTGATGAATGCTTTTCAAAATTACATTTATTCACTTAAGAAGTAGGTAAATTTTCCCCGTTGACACACGAACATAACAGCCGCCTTTAAAGCGCTTTTTGGCGCTTTGCCAAACCTTAACCACCGCAAGCCACATAGTCCTGCATCCTCCCAAAGCTCTTCAAGGAGTTGGCACACCCTGTATGAAGACCCCTTTTGCCTTTTGCCTTTACTGTTCGTCCACTTCACCTCCTCCGTGGAGGAACCCGATCAAACCCCCGCTGTATTTAACTTAGATATACATCTCTCAACAGGTAACGAAAGGCCCAAAATGTCAACTGTGCGCGCAAGCTACACGGCATTTCCAGCAGTCATCTTCATTTTCTCCTTAGCAATTGCTCCAGTTTCTTTACAAACTGTAACGCTTTTCAAGGACAAGAACTTCGGTGACAAAAAGTGCGACATCACAGTCAAAGGGTGCCAGCCGGTTTGTGATGGATTTAAAAACAAGGCTTCATCCATACAAGGAGATGCCGACTGCGCTCATTTCTACCGAAGAGAGGACTGCAAAGGGTACATGGGCACTTGGTATAAGAACGGACCCGAAATGAAAGACTTCAAGAATACAGACGCCCAAGATGCAATCATGTCCGTCGGAGACTGCAAGCAACCGATTGTAAGTACTGAGATATATACTGCCGTGCTATGGAAGAACGCCGTATGAACCTTCAGGCATTGCCAAATTTCCGTCGACAAATCACGAATTTTAAGAAAAACGTATGATTATTTCTCGTACAATATTTAATAGGGTTTCGCTCTTAATTTTATCGAATAAAGTCTGAACATTTCAAAGAAAAATGAGCATAACTTTTTTCAAGAATAAATATTTTCCGAGAAGAAATTTTGCAACTCTCGAATGTTCACACGGCGTTTTTCCTTAGCACGGCAGTATAAGCCACGGTTCCACAGATATTAAGACAGCGTGAAGTTGAACGTGAGAAGTCCACCGCGCGCCTGGATGAAGTGGTTTTCATATCCCTACGGTGCCCATGGGCGGATCCAGCAATTCAGCAACACCGGATTCCCTCCATATAAACCCATGTTAAATAATCGATTTTTGTCGGAGCACGTGGCTCCTCCGGGAATCGATACATTATCATAGGTTTAAATGGAGAATAAATAATGTTGTCAATTCAGACGTTAGGAACGCGAATCGCATCTGACGACATACGTCATACGACAAACGTCTGATTATTAAAATTGATAAACAAAGCGATCCACCAAGGACAATGGACCACTAGACAAGGTACGAATTTAAGCGATCTGATACATGTTGCTTAACCACAATTTCACGTGGAAAACGATTCACACAACGAAAATTACGGAAACCAACTCCTAACGAAGATATTAACGTTTTTATTTCACATTAATTACGAGGAATTTGAACTGCCCGCTCACAAGAAACTCAAAACTCTACGTGAGTCAAATCGCCCACTACAACGGTTTCAGCAAGCTTCTCAATCGAGCAATGTTCATTTCCCATCATGTGTTGTTCAAACTATTAGCAATTTGCTATAACTGAGCCAAAGCGTCAAGATTAAGGTTGCCAGATTTTTATATAGCAGAGACTGTCATGATAACGTTTAGCGCGCGATGTGAATCACGTAGAGCATTGAGTTTTCATGAGCGGGTGGTCTGAATTCACGCATTAAGAATCATTAAATATCTTCGTAAGGAGTTAATTTCGGTAATTTTCGTTGTGTGCATCGTGTTTTACGTAAAATTTTGGTTAAGAAACATGTATCAGAATGCTGAAATTCGTACCTTGTCTAGTGGTCCATTGGATGTATTTCTCCCGAACAGAACTATAGGCGAACTAGAAAGATGGGGTGTGCTCTAGAAAGCCGCATAAGAAACAATGGTGAAGTGGATTCTCTTTGGAGAAATGGAAAAGCGGGATTTTACATTATGTCGAACGGAACTATGTGAAAACTGAATGCGGAACTCATGAGTCGTGGGCCTGGCAAAAGAGCGATGTGGACGGGGCTCATGAGTTACTGCCGACCAAGAGCTACAACGGATACGGCTGCTTCGTTGCAGCTGACGTCACTGGCGCTTTATAATTCCCACTCATTCTTACGGCCCTCAACTAGCGGACACCCCTATTTCCGACCTGTCTCCGGTTCCGTTCGGCAGAAATCCATGCAATTAAGTGATCTTCTTGGTTTAAAAGGGTGATTCTTATAGACAAAGGGGGGAAATTATTGACTAACTATAAGGTCTCTCAATTGTTGCTGATAGTTACTCTAATATTAAATAGCTCCTCTGTTCATTGCAACCGCAGCTGCCACCAAGGGGATCCCTCCATTTTTTCTTAGTCGTCTTTGTCTATAGCTTTTTCATTAGCTTATTTTTTAGAGTTTTTGTTCCCATGGAGAAAAGTCCCCTTCTTTTGATTTACGTGGACATTAAAGTGTGTGGCTAATGGAATTGTTATTTTTGCAGCCTGAAAATACCGTAACGTTTTACCAACATAAGAACTTTGGTGGACAAAGCTGCAGCCTGGTGGTGAATGGCTGCACACGAATGTGTCCAGATTTGGAGAAGCAAGCTTCGTCCGTTGAAGGAAACGCTGTCTGCCTCAAAACTTACTCAGATTCCAACTGCAACGATTATGTGGGTGATGTATTCGATTTGAAGCTGGGTGGCTACACAAACTTCAAGGAATTCCCTGCAGCTTCTTTCGCCAGTTTACAAGACAAAATTTCTTCCGTCAAACCATGCTCGAACACTACCGTTACGTTCTTCGAGCTAAGTCATAAGCGTGGGAAGAGTTGCACCTTACAATTGAAAGGCTGCCAACCAATGTGCCCTGAATTGAATAATCGAGCTAAGTCTATCTCTGGACAAACGACTTGCGTCAAGATGTGGTCAGAACCTGGTTGCAAAGGAACTTCGAACAACTGGAGTGCGTTTACCGATACTTCTTCTAAAAATGCTGAGAACGTAGCGTCTTTTGAGGACTGTGTGACCACAGACGGTGATAAATCAACTACCAAACCTCTGAATATCAGGAGGCCGACAACTGGAGGGGCCTGAATCTAAACCATGTGGCCAAAAGCAGATAAATTAAGTCTCGATCACCCCCTCTCTTATACACATATCGTCGCACTTGGACTCTCTGGGGGTGTTTCAAAACAATAATATTATGTCCAAGATAAGTCCTCTCACAGTCCGCAATGGAATCCCCCCCCTTCCCAACCAAAACCAGATGATTGATTTAATTGAAATTTCTCTTAAAATTTGGGAGTAAAATTTAGTTGAACCAGACCGGGTAAGTACAAATAAGGAAAATCTCAAATTGATATCATTGTATACCCTTCATACTCCGAAAAATGCGGGAAAACTTTTACTCCAAATATATTATTTTCCGTGTAATCAACTAAAACGTAGATATGTAAGAGTTCGTAAAAACTATCGTTTTATATGTTGTATGGAATATAATAAAACTTTCAATCATTAATTTAAACTTCGAAGAATTTCACTTTTAAGCGATTCCTCCTTTTTCTATTCCACTCGAGGGGTTGCCCAATTTTGCATTTAATGTGAATATTTTACGTGGGTTTGAACTGAGAAAGGTCGCGAAAAAGGAACTTATCTGGCAACAGTAAAGTCTTGGAGGGACTAGAGGCTGCTTTCCTTGGGAAACCCCTGATTTGGTGGGAAATGACATTAAAAAAAAAAAAAAAAAAAAAAAAAAAAAAAAAAAAAAAAAAAATGGACCACTAGATAAGGTACGAATTTCAGCATTCTGATACATGTTTCTTAACCAAAATTTTACGTAAAACACGATGCTCACAACGAAAATTACCGAAATTAACTCCTTACGAAGATATTTAATGATTCTTAATGCGTGAATTCAAACCACCCGCTCATGAAAACTCAATGCTCTACGTGATTCACATCGCGCGTTAAACGTTATCATGACAGTCTCTGCGATATAAAAATCTGGCAACCTTAATCTTGACGCTTTGGCTCAGTTATAGCAAATTGCTAATAGTTTGAACAACACATGATGGGAAATGAACATTGCTCGATTGAGAAGCTTGCTGAAACCGTTGTAGTGGGCGATTTGACTCACGTAGAGTTTTGAGTTTCATGTGAGCGGGCAGTTCAAATTCGTCGTAACCAATGTGAAATAAAAACGTTAATATCTTCGTTAGGAGTTGGTTTCCGTAATTTTCGTTGTGTGAATCGTTTTCTACGCTAAATTCTGGTTAAGTAACATGTATCAGATCGCTTAAATTCGTACCTTGTCTAATGGTCCATTGGTTCCGTTCGAAGCTTCAAATGTACACTAGGGAAAACTATCTTTACAAAAGAATTGTAAATGGACTCAGATACTACTAAAAAAGAAAAAAATGAATGGAAAAGGAAATGAAATGAGGACATGATTACTTGTGCAATCAGAGTGAATAAAACAGAAACATCAGGGAAATTTATATGCGATAAAGTATAAGAAAAAAAACACGAGTGGACTCATAGCTATTCGGAACTCGAACTGCACTATCGTTGTGCAGTTTTTAGACCCAGGGGGATAGATTATTAATGGAGAGAGCATTTCTAACCTTTCTCAGAAAGAATGTAGAAACGAGGCAACGTTGGAATGCTCATACGGCGTTAAAACACAACGCGACTTTGAATAGTTGCGCCAAACACGGTGCGATCGGCGTCGAACTCATATCAGCGCCTGCAAGACAGAGTGAATACTTCTCGCATTGCACCAAACGCAATGCGAGAGTTGTTTGCGATGACTATTCGACTACAGGTACAGGCACATTGCCGCTAGCTGAACTGGAGGCGTACCACACTGTGAAGATGACTCGACACTCGACCACGTTCCCTTCCCTGGCTCGCGCATCCAGTTCCTCCGTCAAAATTTCCCAGAAAAATAAACTTCAGCCGGAAAAGCGTGGGAAATTCTCCACTGAAATCTCTTCCTTCACCTAAAAGTCTATTTAATTTTACAATCAGGCACCTCTGTGGCATAAATGATCGTGCTCTCTTCCTTGTATTTATTCGTTTTTCATTATTTTGTCGGCTTAAAAATTTCGCGCAACTAAAAATGGATCAAGTTAGTTGGAGCAATGCGTGTTCGATCATTTTCGACTGTAAAAAAAGCAAACAAAAAGATAGGTCTCAGCTGTTTATGTGAATTTATCTTGTTTGCTAATTTTTGCAAGTCCCTTACATGTACATTTAGGTGTTTACTTAGACACGCATAACATTTCTCGAATGGATTGACGTTCACTCCAAGTCATAACGGAGCACCAATTTACGAATCGAATGACATTATAAAACACGAAAGCAGTCATCAGAGAAGTCAATTGATGCCCTCGTGCGGTTTTTCATAGTTCGGTGCTAGTTTAAGTGGGGTTTGATCAGTTCAGTTCAAATTAAAATAGTCTCTTTTCTCATGGCTGGACTTAAATTGTACGAAAATTTTCAACAAATGTCCCGCGAATCAAATTCGGCCTCTTATTTTTATCCCATCTTCAGGGGAAGTATGCAAGTGCAAGCAAGGCGCGCTACTCATTAAAATTTTAATCCTCCTTAAAATTGCACAACGTGCATGATCTTGGAGATCCTACGGCGCACAAATTTGGGGATTGCCTTTCAAGACAATCGTTTCCCTGTATAACTGCGAATAGCCGATTCACGTGAGTATAACGCCAACATTTTCCCACAAACGTTCTGTTTGGAAGTATTTTTGTTTCCTATCTGCATCCGAATAAAGGCATTTGTGATTCCTAATTTTTGGAGGACTTTTTTGCTGAGACCGTCAATTCAGGCTTTGCAGCCAATCGGATAAACTGAAACTACGAGTTCCAGCATATGAACTAAAAGTTCGGTTTTTTTCGGAAAAAGGGTTTGAAAGTAAAAGATTCATTAGTGCTCTTATCAAAATGAATCAAAAACCCCCAACGAGTCCGAAAAATGAAAATATGAATCGTTTTCGTTTTCTACCCATGTATTGACGGTGTAAGTCGGCAATCACATAACTTGGTTTGTGCGCCATTTAAACCTATGGAAAAGGATCGATAAACAGGGTGTTCGCAGCGAACACCTTAAAGCTTGATTCTCTACCAAAGGTTCAAATGACAGAACAATCGATACATCGCATTTCACGCCACGCCAGTGCACAATACTGTCGTGCTAAGGAAAAACACCGTAAAATCATTCGCATGTTACCACATTTCCTCTTAGAAAATATTTATTTTTGAAGACAGTTATAAATATTTTCCATTGAAATTGTCAGAAAATTTGAATCAAATTACGAATAAAATTCCCTGACTATCGGAGGAAATGTATACATAAATATTTTCGAAATTTCGTGATTTTTTCAAAAGAAATTTGGCAACGCTTAAAGACTCATACGACGTTTTTTTCTTAGCACGGCAGAATACATGATCCTCCTGAGGCTATTCACGATGACACCCTCATTTCTTGTATGAAGACCAGTGGCGTGAACAATCGATTATCGATATTTCCCCATTTGAAGCTATAGTGAAGAATCGATTATAAAGGAGTTCGTTACGAACACTCTGTTTATCGATTCTTTTCCATAGGTTTAAATGGCAGATTAATCGATGTATCGCAAAGCACGCCACGCCACTAATGAAGACCCCTCATTCTTTTACTGAGCGTCCCTTTCTTCCTCTCTTAGAAGGAACCCTATATCAGCTTTGGCGGATCCAGCGAATTGGCAACATTGCATTTCTCCATTTAAACCAATGAAAATTTATCGATTCGTGGAGGGGCCAGGTGCTCCGACAAAAATCGATTATTTAAGTTAGGTTCAAATGGAGGGAATCCGGGGTTGGCAAATTACTGGATCCGCCTTTGCTTATGAAGTCTTCATAAGGTATTTAAATTGCTTATAGCTCGAAGTTTATCAACGTTTTTCCCTTATTTTATAGCATAGCGAGCCAAAGGCATTGTAATGAGCACTATATTAAACTATGATATAAATCTCTCAACGGGTGACAAAGAAGCAACTTAAATCATTTCTTCTATCAACAGGTAACTGAGGGCATGAAATGTCGACTGTGCGCGAAGGCTACACAGCATCTTCAGCGGTCATCTTCATTTTCTCCTTGGCAATTGCACCGGTTTTTTTACAAACTGTAACGCTTTTCAAAGACAAGAATTTCGGTGGCACCAATTGCAGCCTCCAAGTCCAAGGGTGCCAGCCGGTTTGTGAAGGCTTTAAAAATCTGGCTTCATCGATACAAGGAACCGCTGACTGTGCTCATTTCTACCGACGAGAGAACTGCAAAGGGTACATGGGCACCTGGTACTCGAAGGCGGGCAAAATTGAAAACTTTAAGAAAACAGATGCCCAAGACTCAATTGTGTCTGTTGGAGACTGCAAGCAACCGATTGTAAGTACTGTTAAGTACTGATTGTAAGTACGAAGTTGAACGCGAGAAGTCCACCGCGCGTCTAGGTGTAATGGTTTTAAATCCATCTGCTGCCAAGGACGTTTGAGATGCGAATGTTTCTGTTGGTTCGGCAGAGGTTTGATATTTAAAATTGATAGACAAAGCGATGGAAAAATGAGACGAGGGGAAAATTAAGCTATATTTTTGGTTGAAACGGGTAAATCCTTCGGAGTAAGGGGGAGGTAATGATGGACTAACTAAAAGGTCTCTCATTGGTTGCATTTAGCTGGTCTATTACTTGGTCCTAGCTGCTTGCCATACGACAACCAAGCCATTCCATCAAGAGAATCGATTATAGTTTCTCTGTCGTCTTTTTCTATCGCTTTATCTATCATAACTTCAATAATGAGCTGTAGGTATGTTCAGAATCATTGCACGCAGTCGAATTTCTGCGGCCAATTTTGCGTCGCGCACTGCTTGTGGATAGAGCTGTAGCTCAATTCATACCCATTGCCAGAATATAGCTGCCATGTAACCGGAAAAGGCAAAAATTACAAAAACGAAATTTTGAGGTTATATGGATCCAATTATGTGTTCGAACGGAATCTTATTGAAAGAAACATTCGTCTTTTGTATAATTGTCAACGATATCCACGTTGTCATATACCGGCAATTTCTAGTTAGATTATGGTTCATATTCTTCAATAAATAAGAAATTACCGTTTTTGCTGTGCTCAAATTTCGAATTTCATTCCCGCTCACAAAAAAACCAAAGTCTACTACAGACAAATCGAGTACAACACTAATTTTGGTATATGTCATGATGGAAAAAACGTCTTGGTACCAAAACGATACCCATGTTGACGTTATAGGGACAATGAGTATGTGGTCCTTTCTCCACCACCAATCTACAGTTTTAATACCGTTATCTAAGATCGAAAGCAAACGAGCAAAAGAGCCTTAACGTTTTATGCATTGCTTAAGCGCGTTGGTGTGATTTTCTCGAAAACTTTCAAATTACACGGGGAAGAAATTTCGTGCATGGGACCCGAAGTTGAAATCATGTGGATATCTGAAGTTTTCT